ATCTCAGCTCGCTGCAAGCTCCGCCTCCTGGGTTTACACCATTCTCCTGCCTCAGCCTCCCGAGTAGCTGGGACTACAGGCGCCGCCACCTCGCCCGGCTAGTTTTTTGTATTTTTTTAGTAGAGATGGGGTTTCACCGTGTTCGCCAGGATGGTCTCGATCTCCTGACCTCGTGTTCCGCCCATCTCGGCCTCCCAAAGTGCTGGGATTACAGGCTTGAGCCACCACGCCCGGCCGTCATTTTTCATCCTACTAAAAACCAGTCTACCAAAAAATACCAAAATGAACCTTTCCGTACGTATAACTTTATATACTTGTGTATGTGTGTATATGTGTATGTATTTATGTATACGTATACACATATATACGTATACATATTATATGTATGTGTATATATGCTCATACATATATACGTATATATGTGTGTATACATACGTCTCATATATACATATATATATGTAGAGAGAGAGAATGAGGAGAGAGAGAGACTTTCAGATTATTTCTTTCAGCTAACTTCCCCAGAGTGGAATCCCTTGGTCTAGTAAATTCTCTGTGCTCCAGTTGAAGTTTGGCAAATGACTTCTGGGGGTCTGGACCGTTCCAGCAGAAGCGTCTGTGAGTGAAGAGGGCTGTGGACCTGGTTGTTAGGAGACAGAGCCAGGGCGAGGTTCCCACTCAGGTCTCCCCATCTCCTGCAGCCTCTTTTCATAGCAGTGGATACTTTTCTTCCCTTTAAAGAGACCGTTCTAGAAGCCTAATGGCAGTGCTGGCGACACGATTGTTTTTCACGTGAATTTGCAGGTCTGTCTTGGGGCTGGACATCCGGCACTGGTGGGCGTGGGAATGACAGGCTGGACCCACAGGTGGAAATTGGCAAAGCTCGTCTTCCAGAGGCACTCGGTCAAAGAGTTCCGACAGTGACCTCACCCGTGGCTGGGGCTTCGGACCCTGATGAGCTGCGGTGTCACCACAGGTTTGCAGGCAAGGAGGCCTTTGCTTGAGGAGCTTGCAAAGAACCTCCCCACGGAAGCGGGCAGCCTCTGTGTGACGGGCACCTTGGGGCGTGCTGAGCTTGAACCTGGGGACCAGCTGGCAGAGGCAGGCAGAGGACAGAGGCTCCGCCCCTGCCCAGCGCTCAGGCAAGCTGTGGAAGGTTCCCTCCCACCCTGTACAGGTGGGTGCGGAGGAGCAGCAGGCAGGCAGCGCGGGTCCCACGTGCTGGAGGAGCAGCTAAGCGGGAAGCCACGGCAGCAGGGCTCAGCCTCTTGGAGCTGGGGGTCCAGTGCTGCCTGCCCGTCTGTGAGGCGAGCACAGAGGACCCCCAGGGTGCTGTGGGTGGGCAGGGTTGGGCACCACAGAGGGCAGCTGGGAGGAGTGGGGCTGAGAGCTCAGGCAGTGCTCCTTGGTGCAGCCGTGGCTGGGGGCCTCAAGGACCGCGTGGGAGCCCCTGGGGTCTGTGAGGCTGGCAGGAGGCGAGGAGAGGCCAAGACCCCCAGGGAACGCCCAGGCCTGAACCCCTCCAGTGCTGCTGACCTTGCAGCTGCTGCCACGCCACGGGCGGTGACCACACAGACGTCCCCTCTGCCATTGTTGTGGGACTGGGAAGGACGCCGGGCAGATACAGCCTCCCCCTCCAGTGCCCCGAACTCCCTGGGTCCACCCCGGCTCCCATGGTGGGGAGGGGCCGCCTTGGAGCCCCCATGGGAGAGAGTGGAGGTGGGGTAAGTGCCTGGAGCTCTTGGCCATCATGTGCGAATGTTTTGCTCCCTGCTGATGCCTCCCTCGCACCGTCCTGTCTGTATTGTGGACTGGGCAGCTCTCACGGGGGGCAGTTCTGTCCCCAGGGGACACTGGCCAGCAAGTGGAGACGTCTGTGGTCTTGGTTGGTGTTGCTGCAGGCATCTGGCTGGTGGAGCCCAGGGAGGCTGTCCCGGCCCCTGCAGCCTGCAGAACAGTCCCGCCGTGGAGGACGGCCAGCCCTGAGTCCCCAGTGCCCCAGGGCCCGGGACACCCCTGCCTGCCCTGGGCAGATCCCCGGGGCCAGGCGGTTCAGGCCGTGCTCCTGCCCGCTGGGGTCTCCTGCCGTCCTCGCCATCACCACTGGGTGGAGCCACAGGTCCGTGTGATCATCCCTGTGATCCCGGGTTCCGGAAGGATCCTCACCCAAAGCTGGCACAGCCCGGCTCCCGAACTCTGGTCTCAGGACCCTTCGCAATCCTGAAACCTTTTGAGCTTTTGTTTACATGCGCGGCCGCTGTGGACGTTCACCCTACTAGAAATAGAGCATTTAAAAATGTTCACTTTTTCACGTAAAAATAGCAATAAATCCATTGCATGTGAACATAACATTTTAATGAAAAACAACTGTTTCCCCGTAAAAAAAAAATGTAGTGGGAAGAGAAAGGAGGGGTGGCTGTTTGTGCTGGATTCTTATGTCTGCATCTGCCTTCAGGCCTGTGGCCTCCAGAACATTCCGCCCCACACTTTCAGGAGAATGGGAAGGAGGCCAGGCACGGTGGCTCACGCCTGTAATCCCAGCACTTTGGGAGGCCGAGGCGGGCAGATCACCTCAGGCCAGGAGTTCGAGACCAGGCTGGGCAACATGGTGAAACCCCGTCTCTACTAAAATGCAAAAAATTAGGCGTGGTGGCGGGCGCCTGTAATCCCAGCTACTCTGGAGGCTGAGGCACGAGAATCGCTTGAGTCCGGGCGGTGGAGTTTGCATTGAGCCAAGACTGTGCCATTGCACTCCAGCCTGGGCGACAGAGCGAGAGACAGTCTCAAAAGAATGGGAAGGAAACCACTCTCAGAAGTGTCATGAGAACAGGTTTGACCTCGGGGACCCCGGAAGGTTTCTGGATCCCCTTTGAGAAGCGTGGTCTGGACACAGCCGTCAGATGCCTGTTGTGGGGTCTTTACCAACCTTGCTTTGCTGCATTCATTCATTCAGAGACGGAGTCTCGCTGTGTCACCAGACTGGAGTGCGGTGGTCCGATCTTGGGTCACTGCAACCTCCACCTCCTGGGGTTCAAGCGATTCTCCTGCCTCAGCCTCCCGAGTAGCTGGGATGACAGACGCCCGCCACCACGCCCGGCTAATTTTTTGTATCTTTATTAGAGATGGGATTTCACCATGTTGGCCAGGCTGGTCTTGAACTCCTGACCTCAAGTGATCCACCTGCCTCGGCCTCCCGAAGTGCTGGAATTACAGGTGTGAAGCGCCGTGCCTGGCCCTGCTTTGCTGGTTTTAAATGTTTTTGTTGAAAACGAGGATCAGACATACGTTATTACAGTTTTCAGAGTAGAAACCAGCTTGAGAAAATCCTATTTATGAGCACAGTCACTCTGGGAGGCGAGACTCCTTCGTCCAGGGTCACTGAGGTCTGGATTGTTGGAGAATTATTCACAGAAACCCCAGAAGCAGCTGAGGAGACGTGGGGCTGAGATGGGGGCCTGCGCGCGCAGCCAGGCTGTGCAGAAACTCGCAGTGTGGCACGTGGCCGCCGGGGCTCAACCAGGCCCGTCTCTTCCCTTTTGGCGTCTGTGGAAAATGCCGGGCTGATGTCATTATGGGTGACTCCTGCGACCCTAAAAAGTTTTTTTTTGAGACAGAGTCTTGCTCTGTCACCCAGGCTGGAATGCAGTGGTATGATCTTGGCTCACTGCAACCTCTGCCTCCTGGGTTCAAGCAATTCTTCTGCCTCAGCCTCCCGAGTAGCTGGGATGACAGGTGCCCACCACCACGCCCAGCTAATTTTTGTATTTTTAGTAGAGATGGGGTTTCTCCATGTTGGCCAGGCTGGTCTCGAACTTCTGACCTCAAGTGATCCGTCTGCCTCAGCCTCCCAAAGTGCTGGCATTACAGGTGTGAGCCAC